GGAGCTTGCTTGGTTGACGAGTTGAAACACCCGGACAGATGAACACACACACGTGCACACACACACACGCGTACACACACAGACAGATTCATCGCAATATGCGTTTTTGTAATTTGCATATAGGCAAAAACGTGTAAAAACGAGGAAGTGTCAGTGAAATAAAGAATGTCAAGTTATTTTTATGCTTCTTCATAGATTCTGTAAGCAAACTGCACTGGCGAAATTTCAATAAGTAAGCCCATAAGAACGATGCAGCATAAAAGTGCGCCCGATGGTCTTGTGCAAAGTTCGTAAGTTCCATGATTCACCTTTCTGACGTTTATCAACACAAAGTCACAACAAGCAGAATCGAAGTGTACGCGCAATTTGTGCAGATATTAAAAATTTTTTCAAAAAACAAACTTTGCTGATCAAATCTAACAACTTGCCCACTGCGAAGAAGGAGAGGGATGAGAGGCCTCCAAAGCACTGGAGGAAATAAATTTTTTGTGCAAAACTCTCAATGCAGTTGCTTGGAGGTGTAAATACATGACAGTCTGATAATTTACCCTCTTCCAGAAGATAAATTGATCCCAACATGCATTTCTTCCGTTTTTATGCGTTTTGGCATATATGCAAATGCAAAAAAGTATATCGGCAAGAGGCTGTGTGTGCCTTTCTGTGTGTTCGCCCTTTTTGTCATCCACTTTCAACTCCAGAACCAGAAAAGCTAGGAGGCTGAAACTCCGGCAGTGTGTGTCCACATCAAGCGCATCTCTCCCATTCTAATACCATCATCCGCGTACGCCTGGGTCCCACGTACTGGTGCTCTAAGAAAATATGCAAATTTTTTGGCGGGGAAGCGATTTCGGGGACCAAAAACGATAGAGAGCTAAAATTTCGTAGGGGTATTCTCTGTGCACGCATTAGGGAATATTCCCTGTCCAAATACAACTTAGAGATTTCAAATTCAGCCTCCAAGTACGTGCGGTTCTCTTGAATGGCCACTTAAATTTTTTTGACGGGAAAACTGATATTTGAAAAGCTGAATCATTTTTAAGGAACGACCGCTAAACAGAAATTGCCCATTTTCCTTTATGGAAAATTTACAATGATTTACGGTAGTGAGTGCGCAAGGCAACAATCATTCGTGCAGTTAACGACCTATTCAAGTTTGGTGCAGAAACGCATGACCACACCGGCAGGCCTGATGCATTCCAGCCTGGGTTAGAGGTGCTGCACAGCATGATAAAACGCAGCGTATTTCTGAAGCAAAAGTCTAGATGTGAAGTGATTAGCAGAAAACAGAAAAGTCATATAGCAGTAAACAAGATCGAAAGGACACATCAAACATTACTTGGAACCAAACACGAATGAGGGAACAAGAATACGAGTCTCACTACGCATACAATCTTCGGACTGGTCAACGACCATAGAGGAAGGAAAGAACAAGCACCGTTATGTTGGCGATGAAGCCTGCATGCAGCGAAAGTCTGTGTATGACAGTGATAAAACCTGAGCCTTGCATATCGCAGATATAATCTGATAAGCCAGGACAAATAAACTGTAAAGCCTGGGCAAACCCATGAACAAACTTAACTGCAGAAACGAAAAAACAGCACTAATATGCAATATCTGGCAGCACCGTTGGTGTATATGTGGTACAAACTTTTCAGAAGGAAAAAAAACGAAGCAATTTAAATCAGGGAACTCTAGAATAAAGGGATTTTTTGCATTAAATATATTTGATTTTTCTAAGATGATTGTATTTCACGAGGTTACTGGTGAAAGTTGAAGAGTGAAAGCCGGCTTGTGATATAGATAGCGATAGAGCGAAGGGTGTTTGGCATGCCTCTTCGTGGACAAAAAACAATCAGACTCTTCCCTAAATTGATGGCGTACAGATATCATTACGCCTACGTAAGAATATAAAATCCCATGAACAGGACATACTGCTCGCCTTGCTCACAACCAGTGAATGTCAAACATCAGTAAAGCTATTTGCGGAAAAGTAAACGATCACTCAAGCGACTCACGAAGAGATGGCGCGCATACATTGAATAGCCAGTGTGTACTAACTAGAGGTATTCTACCCAAGACCGAACGACCTAAGATAGTTGCATCTGATGTGGAAGCACGCCACTAATATACTAAGGTAGGACATAGACAGTGACTGCGTGGTCGTCCTTGATACTCTTAGCATATCTCATTTCCATATGTGTTTGGGTCATGGAACAGCTTGGCCGTTTCTTGCTGTGTAAATTACGCAATTTTATGACTTAGCTTTCACCGCACTGTCGTAACCATTAGGCTTATTTCCCGGCTAGTCAAGGCAGAAAAATAACGATTCTCTGAATTCAGTCATATCTGGTTCTTCGAAGCGAGTCTTTCTTCAATTCCCTTACCCACGCTGATGTCTTTCCTTTTCCGCAAAACATCGCATTTTCAGCGTGCCTGTGATAATTTTCAATCTCCATATAAGGCTATATAGAACTTTAAACAGCGCTAACAGCGGTAGGTGCTGCTCTAGGCAGTTTTGTCTAATTCTGATTTGAATAATGTGCAGTTTTGGAAATCGTTAAATCGTAGTGCAAAACACAGTAAACATAATGAATAATGGAGGTAAGGTAAGGGGAGGGAAATCCTCACTGTGCCAGTTTATGCAATAGCAGCATTACACATAATACAATGGTAAGCACTGCGCTGACGATACACCGATGCGGAGGTACTTGGCCTTTTATTGTGGTAACTTCAAAGGCCACTGGCACTACCTCCTCTACGAAACAAATACAAATACCTAGACATACTGAATTAAACAGATGTAAAATAGATGGGAGGACGCCATGAGCAGTGAATTAAAAAGAGAAACCAGGCTGCAGATGTAGATGCAGTTGCAGCTGTACTAGAGCAGTCGTTGTCAACCCCTCTGTAATACACCTATCGAAAGTTCGTGGACCTCCTATTTGCATTACTACAATACATGTCACACCTTAGCCGACAAACCACTTGTTGCAAACTCAAACAACTCCTGAAGGATGCTAGATTCTTCGGCGACAAATATACGCGATGGTCGTGATCGTTACTCTGACAATAAAGCAGCTAGAGTGAAAACAGGTCCGAAATGAAAATGCGACCAAACTCAGACCAGCCTCTACTTGGGTCGAAATTTTCGCGTCTGCTGAGAAAATGCTGAATTGACATATTCGGCCGCCAGTGACTGTTCCATGCTAATGGGTATTTTGAAACTTTTATGCACGAGCAAAATGTTAAATCAGTTCTTTTTGGTTCGCAGTCAGCATCAGATTCTCTGACGCCTGTGAATTGAGGCCAACAGAAAGAAAACCGCTGATGCAAGATGAACAAAACTGTCCAATTTAACTGGAAACTAGAGTTGGAAGAATTAAAACTTGACGTAAAGTTTGGACAAGCCACGTCGAAAGGATCCAAATATTACAATATTTCGCACTAAAAAAAGGTTATTCACCAAAAAAAAGTTGTTAGAGTTTCCAGCTAAACTTTTATTTTTCTGGGTAAGTTTTGAACCCTATGATGCAGTCTTTCTTGCAGTGTTTATTTATATGCGCAACAGAGAAGCAACAACGAAAAAAGTGGTTTTAGTCAAGCAAAGATGCAAACTTTTAATGATTCAAACGAGGGGTAATATAACGCAGAAAAAAAAAAACGTTATATTCTTTGTTTCAGGAATGTGAAGACTAAAGCATGGAGGCAAGGAGTGTAACGCGTAACAGCCAGAAATTTTTCTTCATAAAGCCAAAAAAATTAATTTGGGAAAAAATAGCAAAAGGGGCGAAAAAAAAGCAAACGATAATTCTCCTCAATACAGAAATTAGACTGGAAAAAATCTACATGCAGTATCCACTAAAACTTCAAGCATGGGAGGAAATTCGGTCGGAACTTATATAATATTGTCTGTAATTCCGAAAATTTAGAACTTACTAGAAAGACGACAAGGCTGTACCGGGTTTTGCAAAGCTGAACAAAGATCTCATGCTACAGGCCGGATTGCACATGCAACGGATGGGCCTAGACGAAAGGAGGAAGGATGGCCAGACTGGGCTAAGCTAGAAAGACATATTATGTCCTATCGCATACGCGTATGATTAAATGCGGATAAACAATTAAATTATAACGTGCGTGCGAAATGGATATGTTTGCTGACGAACAGGTGCACCAACACTACTGATGCTCGGCAGAGCTCGGAATATGATAATTTTGATGAGCAGCACGACAGGTGGATGAACCAGCGGAAGAGCAGCGGACGAGAAGAGCATAGCGCTCAGCCGCTGTAAATATTTGAATATTAAGCTGAGGCAATCATTTAATTCAGCAGCACCACAGCTCATTGTACACTAATCTACGCAAGCACTGAACTGAGGAATTACAAGGTGCTTACTGGTAAGGAGAACCGCTGCCTCAACAATGGTTTAATGTGTGAAATTTTGGAATGGAACACTGCTTCGAAAGACTCCGCGGATTCTGAAATGCGTTTAGTCACACGAATGGGATCAAAGAAATCGCATGAATGCATTGTCAAGAGTGGCTTTTCATAGGTGTTCGGACTTACACAGGATGCTATCAGCAAATCAAATAGCTGCTGGCTTGTGCTACCCAAACTGAATCAGGAAAACTGACGCTGTATTTCGCTGCTTGCAGCTGCCTGCAGTTTACTCGCTCACAGATTTGGTGCCAAGCTTTTGCCATTCTCGCGACACAAACAATTGCATGAGTCAAATCTTTGCGTTTTTCATATCCATTACTGGAAAACTCATCTCTTCTCTGTGTTACTTTCTTATCCTTTATCAAAGAGTCTTGGCCAAGTCCTAACTTGGAACGAATTTCCATACTCATACCACCTGAAGCAAATGAAATCCCGATATCACAGTGAATAACAAGATCAAAGAGGGGAAAAGGCCGGACATTACCGGAGTTAAGCGCAACATGGTTCTTTGATTAGATCATTCAATCCCTGTGGGAACACAGCGGAGAAAAAGCCAGAACTCACACACAAGATGGACTGGAAAGATAAATCGCAAGACATTATATCAAAAAGTGTCACAGCTCTGTGTCTGACTCTCAGAAGACCAACAACCATGCACCCTCTACTACCAAAATTCCTGTTCTTATAAGATGGCTGTATATGTAAATTAAAAAAATGGACAGAGAGCTTAGAATATCTTTAACTTGACTCTCTCCAAGCAGGCTTCCAAGAGAGCCAACGCTACGTTTGCTGGAGCTTGCCCTCTGTTACCAAAGGAGCGATCAATCACAAGGCCCAGATAACCAGTGTCTCCGAGACGCAGGGGAATGTGTTACAGGGAGAGAGACATCTGAAGCATTCAAAAAGAAAAGTTAACAAATCGAGAAACAAATGAGTTTGTCTTTAAAGCATTAAAGGCTAGAAGCACGCTAAGAGGACAAGGGGAGCAAGAGGAGAGGAAGAAGGGAAATGGGAGTGGATTTTAAGGCATCCGCTTCCACGTATAATATTACTTCTGTCGAGCAACAGAAAACTCTCAAAATCCTACAATGAATGTTTCAGATGCGGATTAAACTGGAATTCCTAAAAAAGAAATGTTCTGGAACTAGAAACTAACCAGACTAAAACGCACCAGGTTAGTTGGTGTGATCATGCGTTTTTGCAATTTCCTGCAGATGTTTAGTGCTGTGCTGATACGATTTGTGCTCGCGTTGGCTTTACTGAGTCTCTTTTAGGCTGGCGCTCGTATTCACACGGAAGCAGTGAAGTGTTCCTTTGGTGAAATATAGATGTATACAGAAACTTACTTTATGCTCCTGCAATCATTCATAATCAGGTAATATCCCCTTAGAAATGTGGCTTATCATTCTGCGCGGGCAGAGAGATACGAAGATGCCAAAAGTTTTGGAGCCAGAATTTTGCTGTATGGGTATGCGGAACGTGGACGTTAGTGGAGGGTTATATCGCGTGTATGGTGCCGTACAGGATATGCTAATATTATCGAAAATTACGTCTCTCCTCTGACTAATTAGAGGAAGAGAGAAAATGATGATGATGACAGCATAGCAAATTGAACACGTCCATGTGCAGGAAATATATGCCGGAAACTCATTTCAAAGTTACAGACTCGTGCGTGAACAACGAACATACTCAGCAAAATACTGCATCCTGCTCAGTCCGTGTATCAAGTTAATTGGCTGTCAACGGTATCTGGAACTAACAATTTATTTGCGGCACGCGCGAGAGCTGGGCATGCTCCAGGGCGTAAACTGTAGTATCGTACACGGCACAGAATATTTTCGCGTGATCTCAGTTTCCTAAAATGTACGGTTAGCGAAATCGCTTCTTGTTACTTAGAATATTTGGCGTATCGGAACTCGCGACTCAGGCATATGCCGAAGCTCATTTTAAGTCTGCTTGC